GGCATCTCAAAATGAGCCACCTCCTATTCTGGGAGCAGGGGGGTGAGGCAGTGTTGTGAGGTTGGTGGCTTTCCTGTTTCATTGAAATGTTAGTGCCCACAGCCATTTCAGGCAAACCTTCTCCCTGGTTCCAGCTACCTGGGGTATTAGAAACAGCACACTTCCACCACTTCTGTCCCCTCCAATCCACTCTGCTCAGAGCAGCCAGAGGGATTTTACTTAAAAATAAATCAGATCATGTCACTTGCCTGCGTATATGCTCCAGTGGCTTCCTATGCCCTTGGAATAAAATCCCGACCCCCTCCTCAAGGCCCACAGGCTCTCACCACCTCATCCTCTCTCCTCCTTCCCCATTCTCCAGCGACCTGGCTCCAACCCGCCCCCATTTCCACCCAACCCTACTCCTCTTCCTGTCCAGATCAGAAAGCACACACACACCCCGTGGTCAAGGGCAAAACCCCTCAGACCACACCTTTGGAGTCAGACCCCTCCTCTCTCTCCCCAGTGTCACTACCTTTGCTCCCCACCTTCTTCCTCTCACTGGGATCAAACCCCCTAGTTTGATGCCCAGCAAATATCCATCATCCTCACTGCACTCCTGCCAGCATCACTTTTTCAGAAAATTCATGCGGACGCATTATTCCCTTGTTGCCCCATCTCCTAGAAAACAAATTACCCATTTGTTTTCTTGGCCCCATTTACAAGGGCTCCCCAAAATCTTGTGCTGTCTACTACTCCAGCCTGCTCCCAGTCCCCTGCACCCCACCCCACCCCGCCTGGCCACACTCACAAACTCTTTCATTCCTTGCTGACTTTCACACTCACACCCATCTCTGATGCCCTGCCCCTTCTCTGACTGGCAAGCCCCGATGCGTCATCAGGATCTGGTCCCTGGTCCCTTCTGTAAACCCCGCCTCCCTTTGCTCTTCTCTCGGTTATTGCACCCGGCTCACTGTTTTGTAATTACTTCTGTACAAGCAGGACTCGTGGCTGTGATAAAAAGCACCTTTCTTTGTGCTTGGTAAGGACAATCCTTCCCTTGACATTAAGATAAAATCTTGCACAGACCCTTGACTTTCCTGGTCACTAGCAGATCACTATAAGTGACAAACCCTGTCTCACGTCAGTAACCAGAACTGTGCAGTCCACCATGGAGTCTTCACGGAACTCAGACTTCTCCACTCCTCTCCCTGAGCCAGGCTGAGCTGCTGTCTTTGGGGGAGGGGGCATCACCTTCCGTCCTGCTCACCTCCTCCCTCCCTTTCTTGGGTCTGAAGGTCTGACCACCCCCCCCCCCCCCCCCACCCCCCCCCAGGGTTAGGCCTCTCAGATGTTTAAGGCCCATGGGAACCTGTGTGGGTTTGCTCCCGGGCCCCACTCTGGCCCGGCCCCCTTGACAGGGCCATGCCTCTCCTTCGAATGGACGGTTCCTAATCCCTCCTCAACTTCTGCCCCAGTGGTACACCTCACAGCCTCTTGCTGCCAAGGTCCCCTCGCCCTGGCACGCCAGCCTCGTCAACAGAAATCCCTTCCTAAATGACCTCTGGCTGACCTTCCTACTACACATCCATCCCACCAGGACTCCATTGGAACTTTCCCAACTCAGCCCGATTCTGCTGCCCTGGGCCACTCTAGCTTCTCCAGGCGAGAGCGGGGCTCCAGTGCCCTGTGCCCCAACTGCAGGGAGTCCATAGCATGCCCTCTCGGTGGCTCCATGGAAGCCCATCCCACCAAGCCTGGGGTCAGGAGGTAGCACTGACCCCCATCCCACCCCTCTTCCTTGAGAATGGGGCTCACAGTTCTCTGCACTGCAAATCCTTTTCAGAAATAACTATTCCAGGCCAGCCTGGTGGAGCAGTAGTTAAGTTCGCATGCTCTGCTTTGACGGCCCAGGGTTCGTGGCTTCGGATCCTGGGCGTGGCCTACATACCGCTCATCAAATCATTCTGTGGCAGCATCCCACATAGAAAATAGAGGAAGATTGGCACAGATGTTAGCTCAGGGACAGTCTTCCTCAAGCAAAAAGAGGAAGATTGGCAATAGAGGTTAGCTCAGGGTCAATCTTCCTCACCAAAAAAAATAATCAACTATTCTATTAACTCTCTGCCACCTCTTTCACATCTTCAGTCTGCATGAAGGGCCCAAGAGCAGTTTACCTGGTTTTTAGCTAATTTATCTGAAAATTTTGTACATGGTCTAGTGCCTCCCTTGGGAAGCAGCCTCCTCTGTGGCTTGGTGCCTTGTTTGAAACCTCCGATTTCATATTTTCTGACCTCCACCAAGCAACCCCATCCTCAGGACCAGGCTGGTGTCTCAGCCTTCTGTGCCTCTGCTGAGAAAGCGTCACCCTTGACACCTCCTTCCCTCTACCCCCACCACCCACCCAATACACGTCTGGGTCTGCTTTCTTGTCTGCTTATTCTGTTTATCTCCTCGGGAGCTCTCAACTCTGTCCCTTTGCTCCTTCGCCCCCGCACCCCCTGCCCCAGTCCTCGTCACCATAAGTAGCCTCCTAACTGCTCCCCAGCGAGTCCACACTCCACATCACAGCCAAGGGAGCTTTTTCAATGAAAACCTGACCGTGTCCTCTTCCTCCTTAAAATCCTTCAAGGGCGCCCCTATTCTCTTAGAATCAAAATCAACACCATTAACCCGGCCCCCCTCTTCCGCACAGGGTCTTGCTCCCATCCAGCCCTCCAGATCTATCCCCCACCATGTTGCCCCTCCCTTCCCTGGCAACAGCCTCTGTCTGGGATCCCAGGCTCTCTCCCCACACAGGGCCCTCTGCCTGGACATGCTTCCCCCATACCTCCACCCCTACCTTCACCTGGTTAACCTGTGCTCATCCCTCAGCTCTCATCTCAATGGTCTCTTCCCCAGAGGAGTGCTCCTTGGTGCTCAACCTCAGGTCAGGGCAACCCACTGAGCCTCTCACAGCACTTATCTGCTGCTTTGTAGCACAGTTTCTGATTAAACATTGAGCCATGATTTTTTTCTTTTTTCTGTGAGAAAGATTGTCCCTGAGCTAACATCTGTGCCAATCTTCCTCTATTTTACATTTGGGACTCCGCCACAGCATGGCTTGATGAGCAGTGTGTAGGTCTACACCCAGGATCCGAACCCACAAACCCCAGGCCATCGAAGCAGAGCGCACAAACTTAACTACTATGCAACCAGGCCAGCCCCAAGAGAAAGATGATTTTTTTTGGTGAGGAAGATTATCCCTGAGCTAACATCTGTGCCAATCTTCCTCTATTTTTTATGTGGGACACCACCACACAGAATGGCTTGATGAGAAATGTATAGGTCTGTGCCTGGGACCAGAACCTGTGTACCTGGGGCCACTGAAGCAGAGCATGTGAATATAGCCACTATGCCACTGGGCAGGCCCCGAGCTGTGAAATTTTTTGATTACCTCTGTTTCTCTGGCCAGACTCTATGTCCTATGAGAGGAGAGGCAGCGTATGCTTTGCTCATCCTTGTATTCCCAGCTCCCCAGGTAGCCTGGTCCAAAGTCGGGGTTCAAGAAATACTTGTTGAACGAATGAATGAAGGGACAAATAGTGTGCATCTGATAAGTGTTTATTAAATAAGTAAATGAAATACATTCAACTTCTGTCTTCCAGCTCATGGATACATTCATTCATTCATTCAAAAATATGTATGGAAGTCCTCCTTCCCTCAGCTATTTTTCCTGCAGTGATAAACTGGAACGCAATGCCTAGGTCCCAGGGCTGACCCTCGAACAGCATCCTTAGGCCCCATAGTTACTTACTTAAGTGCCTGGCATTGTACACTTGTAATCAGGAAACATCTTACAGCTGGTACTGAAATTTTCGAGGGTGGAAGGTGAGCCGAGATCCGGGCTCCCCTCCAGCAGGAGACCAAGCACACAGAGAACGCTTAAACTGCTCCAAAGAGAAAATGACAGACATGTGTTCTCCGTGGACAGGGAGCTGGGGAGATGAGAACATGGAGGCAAGAAGGGCGATGAAGAGGGGAAGCCAGAGATGCGGGCTGAGGCTAGGGCCAGGGAGAGGCCACGGTGGGAGGTTGGCCAGGGGTTGGGCTGTCCAAGGACACGTCAGCCCGGGACACCAAACGTTCTGTTTGAGGTTGCTCATTTGGAAGTGATTTCCATGCCTTTCCCATCTCCTCCCAACATACTCTGGCATGCATTATGTGATCATCGATATCAAGGAAAGGGCCGCACCTAGTATCTGGGCGGTGGAGAGACATAAGACAGAAATGTGCTCCAAAGCGGCAATTTGAAGGCAGAGCGATCATGAAAACATCCCTGGGAATTTGCAGAAATCACAGGCAAGACTTTGGACTTCCCCACGACACAGATTGAGGGCACCTAAGCCGTCTTAGCTACAGCTCCTGGGGCGGGCAGGCCCCAACCAGGGGTGGCTTGTGCATGAATTAAAAAAAAGGTTTTTTACGTAATCCTACTTTAAATAGGAAATTAGCATTGAAAAAACTTTTTTGTTTTGTGTTTATTTTAAATAAGAGGCTAATTAGTGCTCAGAGGCCTTGGATATGACTCTGGACCTTGACAGAGCTACTTTGCTTAAAGAGAGGCAGGTCTGTGTGGCTAATTGAGCCTGCTTCCGGGTAGGAACGCATCTCAAACCCCACCTGCTCCTGCAGCCCTCCAGCACTCAGGGGCCCTCCCCACCCCCATGAGCCTGTGGTCCCCTCTCCACATCCTCCCACACCCTGTGCACTGCCAATTCAGCACTCCACTAGACGTGGTCTGCATCTGGTCTCTGAGCCCTTCCTGCGAGCCACCTGCCCCCCTGCTTAGACTGTCACTCCTGCCGGACACAGACAGGCCTCTTGATCCTCACGTACCCCCGACACTGCCCAAAGATATGCCCAGGATGGCCGTGCGTTCCTCGAAAGACCTGGTGGCTTCCCCACATCGGGCTGTGCTGCGTCAGCCTCATCCGGCCCAATCCCCAAACACAAACACACACATGCCCACGTCCAAAGAGTTTGCTAGATGAACCATTCAACTGGTTTTATTGGGTGGAAATTGAGGGCTTTTCAAACACAGTGACAGATACAAATTACCCTGATTATGTTCTTAGGCATAAGTCACAGTTATCACTTCAGAATCACTCAAGGACAACCACACACAGGCTCGAATTACGCTGCAGGAGTTTGTATGAACCCTCCTCCCAGAACAACATTGCATGAACATACGATAAGGGCTGCAGCCCCACCTCCCCACACACACTCTTGGGAATGGTACAGAGCATCTCTCTCCAGGACGAGGGGAGGGAACAAATCAACAGAGCAAGAGAGGGATTTTTTTAAGCAATGCCCCAGCTCCACACACAGATGGAGTTTGTCCACATCCCAGCAAATGACATCTCGGTCTCCCTTTTCTTCTCCAGTGGGAAAGGCTCTACAGAGCGCAGTGCAGCGTGATTCAGCTCTTGGCAGAGGAAAGCAAGGGAGGGACGGGGCCGAGGAGCACCCGGACGTCATGACCATGTGCACTCCATCTTCACACATAGGAGGCCACTGAGGGATGAGTCAGTGCCACCAACCCATCAGGTACAAACTCCGCTGGCTGCCTTCACGTGAGCCCCTCCTGGAAACTGACATCAAGCCTGGTTGAAGCCACATGCAGGCGCAGGGCAGTGGGCACGTGGCTGCAGGGCAAAAGGTTTCTACAGTTCCTCTGCTGACGCCCACTGTCCGTCCTGTCTTCACTTTGGGAGCAAGGTGGCATGAGATTGACTCCAAACTGCAGCACTGAACAACCCACTGTATGCTCATTGAGTTAAAGTGTTAGTTCCAAAAAAAAAATACATATACACATATTTCACAGTTCAAACAATACAGCTTTGAAGAAGAGTTATGGCTTTCTGAAGGGAGGTCAGTCCTGAAAGGGAGTCCGCAGGCCACCGAGCCCCCACCGCATTCTTAAAATGTGTGTGCAGAGTGTGGGAGCCCCAGGGAGGACCAGCTGCCCCACAAAGTGGCCTTGGGCAGAGGGACTTGTTCAGAAGCCAGCCACAGTGGGGGCCGAGGGTTCTGCTGGAAAAGATGCAGGAGGGCTGGCTCCCAGGTAGGCTGTCAGGAGCTGCCACTGGGGAACCCACCAGCCTCCTCCCCAAAGGCCACAGCACCAGGGGGCTGGCATCACCAGGCCTGATGCCAACTCCCTCCATGCTCCCACTTTGCTCAGGCCTGTGGCCTTAGGTGACTCTCTGCCAAGTATAACTGCCACCCCTCCCGCCCCACCAGGGACAGCCACCCAATGCTGTTGGCTTTGGGTGCCCAGGGCCTGGGGCCCAGAGAGGAATGAATACCAACAGGCCCTTCCACACAGATGCTGGGCAGGGCGTGAGGCCAGGAGTAAAGCCCAGGCCTGGACCAGACTCCAAACAGCCCAACCACCATAGAGGGAAGAAAACAGAAGGGTCTCGGTGGCTCGAGCAGGACACTGGCCACCTCCCCTGCCCCCGGGGAAGCATAGGCACCCAATCCCAGAGCTCCACCACCAACCCCGTGTGACCTGAGGCACACCACTGTCACCTTTCTGGGCCTCAGTGAAGTAGAGATGCCACCACCTGCCCCACCCTCCTCGTAGGGATACAGTGAGGCTGGGGGAGAAAACGGATGGTGAAGGTGTTTAGAAGGTAGAAGTATTTCCTGCAGGGGAAAGAAAGTCGTATCCTTAAATTCACAAATAAACTTAGGCCTGAGTACTGAGGGGCCGGCTCCAGCCCCCATGGAGGTCCCAATCCCCCCTCCCACGTGCCATAAGGAGGCCACAGGTGGAGGAAGGATGCAGAAAGGTTCCCCTGTCACCTCCATTGACCAGGCTGCACGTTCCTTTTAAGGTAGGAAGGGAGAAGGGGCACTTCCCCCTCCTCCTGTCTTTTTTCTCGGGGGAGGGGGGGTAGCCAGAGAGAATCCCCAAAGCCAGAGGGAAAATGCAAGGCCAAAAGAGGGAGGTCACCCATCTCATTCATCCGGCATCAGCAGACACGAACTCTCTCACCCTCCTGAACTTCAAGATAATGGAGGGAGTCTTTTAAGCACCAAGATTTCTATGAAGGTCTTTTAAGTGTTTAGGGATGGAAATAATGCTCAAGGGGCTGAGACGCTCCTCTGGCTTCTCACACAGAGCAGTGAACGCTGTTGGAGGGTTTTTGTACCCCTGCACGGCTGTGCACAGGGCAGGGTGAACTGACCTGAAATGCTTTGTTGAGACCTCGGCGTTGTTTGCCCCTCCACTAAACTATTTGCTCCTCCACTAAACGGCTCCAGATCACTTGGTGTTTTCTGAGATAGTTTTGGTCTTTTTAATGCCATTACTATTAGGCTATTAGCTGCCACTTCTTGCTCTATCTAGCACCTGTTATCAGTCTCTTAGTTTGCTTTATTATTAGGAACCAGAACCAAGTTCACTAGAATTAACTTTAAAATTAAAGTGACCGCCGTGAGGGATCTGCTCTCAGCAAAATGTTTGGTCTTTGATACAGAGCTTTATAGCATCTATTTCAGGGGCTCAAAATTAATTTTCCTTCACCTGAGTCCCCAGCTCCCCCGGGGCTGAATGAACTTGCTGGATAAGTGGTCCTGGGAAGTGAGGGGTGCTCTGACCTTGTTTCAGTAAAATAGTAATGATTTTCTCCTTTATCAAGCCAAGATGTTCAGAGGTTCTTATAAACTTTGCGGCTGAATGCGTGATTCTGAGCTGCCGTGGGAATAAAGTTCTCACTGGGAACACACTGCTGGGGCGTCTTCAGAGGGAAGGGGCAGAGGATTTGCCTCCAGTTGGAGAGAGAAGAGATTGAGGCTGGAACCAGGTACTAACTAGCTGGTTTCAAGGTGAGCCTTTTCCAAAGCAAGGTGGGAAAGGAGGGAAGTGTTGTCCCAGGACCAGCATCAGCCTCGCTTGGGAGCTGGTGAGAAAGGCTCCACGCCAGGTTCACCAAATCAAAGATGGCGGGTGGGGTCCAGAATCAATGACCTATCCCAGCGATGCGGACGCAGGTTCAAGTCTGAGAACTGCCGACCTAGAAGAGCGGGTCTCAACCTTGGATGCATGCTCGAATCACCCAGAGTTTGAAAAACCCTAATACCCGGGTCACACCTCAGACAAGCCAGGTCAGAACCTCTAGGGGTGGGGTCCAAGCACAAGGATTTCTTAAACCTCTTCAGATGACTCCAATGTGCAGCCTCAGGGCAATGAGTTGCAAGCAGTGTGCAAAGAACCACTTAAGGAGATTCTTAAAATAAGGATACAGGGCCCCAGCCCCAGGCCAACTGAGTCCGATCCCCTGGGAAAGTGAGGACCTAGCATGGGGGTTATTTTACAAAGATCCCCCGGTGACTCTAACTTGCACACAGTGTTGAGAACCACAATTCTAGAAGAAATCAAACTTTTACCCCAAAGCTGAGCAAGTCATTTAGTTGAAGGAAATGAGTTACTTGGTTGCCAAGGGAACCATCCCCTGACTGGAAAGAGAGAGACAGTCACTTTTCTGGCTTTTGTGCCAAGAGCTAAGTCATGGTAATATACATTTCTCTCTTTCTCTTTTTTCTGAAATGAAAAAAAGATGGTTCACAGAACAGACTACGCAGGGGAAATACGTAAAGACTTATAAAAGATGGGCAGGACTGCTGCCTCTCGGGGCACTGGCTGGCCAGGAGAGCTGAGCCCAGCTAGCAAAGCAAGACCAGGTCCACTCTGGCCCACAGCAAAGGGGCCAAGGTCGCCAGAAGCCAGGGACGGACCGAGGGCCCAGGACAACGGCTCCAGACAAAAACTAAAATCACAATTCTACTATAGGGACACTGAAAACAGTTAATGTCCTTTGAGAACAGCCTGTACATAAGTGATTCTATATGAAATAAGCCAGTCACAGAAAAATAGGTACTGTATGATTCCATATATATGAGGTACCCAGAATGGTCAAATCCACAGAGACAGAAAGTAGGATGGTGGTTGCCAGGTATGGGTGGAGGGGGAAGCGGGGAGTTGTCCTTTTAATGGGTATAGAGTTTTAGTTTTGCAAGATGAAAACGGTTCTGGAAAACTGGTTGCACAACAATGTGAATGTACCTAACACCACTGAACTGTACACTTAAAAAGGGTTAAGATGGTAAATTTTATGTGTATTTTGCCACAATTAAAAATAGAAAAAAAAAAAAAGAATCTCTGAGTGTTGAGGCCTAAACAGATTTTGTAAATGTTAGAGATTCCTGAGCAGTTAATTTTTGTCGCTAGTTTAATAGCGGGTTATATTTTATATTCTTATTTATAGAAAACCCAGAAATTGGGTTGTGTGCCAGATTCTTGTTTTCACTCCTTTCTCGCTTGAGGCTCTAGTCTGAATTTCAGGCCAGACATCACCACTCGCCTGGCAGCAGCCACTGAACCGCAGGCAGTGACGAGCGCGGCTCTCAGGCGGATGCGTGCTCCAGGACCACCCGGGGATGGCGCGCCTGCTGGTTCCAAGTCCAGAGGCTGGGGTTTAACAAGCTCCCCGGGATTCTGACACAGGGATCTACGGTCCACCCTTTAAAGACCACACCGCTTTATCAGGATGCCTCGGAGGACGCACTCAACCTCTACACACTGGCCTGGCTTGACCAGAGCTCCAAAGAACAAGGGAAGGCACACTCTGGCCATCAGCACACCCCTAGCCTGACCTCTTCTGGCCCCTAAGCCACAACCAGCCTCCTGCGGGAGGGGTGCCCTGGCTGCAGTAAGAGAGGCCAAGGTGTGTGGTGAACTCAGAGCAGCACCATCCCCTCCCCACAAGGAAAGACCCCCCCCGCACCACCAAGCTCCCGGCCTTCCACTGGGCATCTGGAGCAGATACTTTGCAAAGCTCAGCTCATCCGTTTCCCAGCCAATAAATACAGCATCTTCCACTTGTTTTTGTGACACTCTTGATAAGTCCCTGATATACTGCTACCCAGCCTGCAGCTCAGCACAGCAATACAAGATCCTGACGAATCTATTTTGTTTTGAGGAAAGGAAGAAAAAAGGAAACCTTTCCCTGTTTTGCTTAAACTAGAGAAAGAGGGTTGTTAGCGGGCAAGAAGCAGATATACGATGACAGTAGGGGGCGAGTGGGGAGATAATGGGGAGAAACATGAGGGTATCAGAGACTGCGTGATGCAGCCAGCCAGACACCAGCCAGCCAGCCACAGAGCCCCAAGCCCCCTAAGGACAGGCAGGGGAGTCTTCACATAGCTCAGTGCTTCCCACATGGAAGATACTAGGCAAAAAAATAATCAACGGAGGACTCTCTTAAGCTAACAATTTCCCCAGGGTGTTACTCGGTTTATTAATGGGGTCTTCTGAACCGCTGGAGCCCACCAGGTAACCAGAGACCCCATTGCTATAGTAAACACGTGGCTCTGTGCCAGTGCTGGGGCACAAAGATAAGCCAGATACGGTGCTTTCCCTCAGTGAAAGGATGGACCCTCGGCCAAGGACACAGGGATGCCCATGTGTGAGCAATGAGGACGTCTCGACAGAAGTCAGTGATGGGTGCTACAGAAGCAGAGGAGAGAGTGCCCAGCCCAGGTTCACGGAGGGGAGGACACAGGGGCCAAACCTGACATCATCTGCAAAAGTGATAGGATGAAGGGGAGGAGAGAGGGAGGCGGGAGTAGGGGGCCATTCCAGACATTTCCACCAGCTTGTGCAAAGGCACAGCGCCTGGAGGAGGATGAGGGGGCAGGGAGGTGGCAGGAGGGTCTCTTGGAAGGTGAGTGAGTCAGCTTGAGACATGCCTGCACGTCTGGGCAAGGCATCTAGACTATATGGTACAGATGGGCAATGGGCTCCTCCAAAGGTGTTTCCAGAAGGCAATTCTCTGGAAGCAGAAAGATCAGTCAGAAGGACCTGAGTTTAGGGCAGTGGGAATGCAGGTAGGGAATGGATTCAAGGGATATTTATGAGTCTGAATTAACGAGATTTGGTGCACAAATAGACATAGAAGGTGAAGAGGAGGAAGAGCCGAGCGTGACCCAGGTTTTGGGCTGAGAGGCCAGCGGTGCAATAGAGCCATCCACTGGGGGATGATGGGGGAGGGGGAGGGCAGAGGGAAGCTGCGCTCATTGGGTGTCTAGGATGTGCCAGGCACTGTGCAACCTTATCTCACTTAACCCTCGCCACAGCTGGTGGGGCTGGCACCCTGGCCTCACTCCTCAGATGATAAATCAGAGCCTCCAGGGGCTCCGGCAGCTCCCCCAAGGTCACCCAACTAGTTAGCGGCAGAAGGCAACTCTGAGTCCAGATTGTCCTTTTAACTCTACCAGTTGAGGACATGCTGAGGTTTGAGATGCTTGCAGGTATAGGGTCCAGGAGGCCACCGTGAGCACGCTTCTGATGCTCCAAGGGAGAAGTGGCCTGCAGGTAAGGGGTTTAGATGCAAGGACAGGAGATACCTGAGGCTGTGATTAGATGAGATTTCTGCAGGAAGACTCCTAGAAAGAGAAGTGAACCCTGTGGAAGCTTCACAGATGAATCAATTAAAGAGCCCGAGCAGGAGCGTTCAGAGATAGGAGGCAAGTCGGGAGACGGTGGTTCCTTAGGAAACAAAAGAGGAGAGGACTCAAAAAGACCAGTGAGGTCACTCCCGTCACACGTCACAGGGATGTCAAGGATGAGGCCTGAGAAGTGTCCACTGCTTTGGCACTACCATCTTTCTCCTACCCACCTTGAGAATTCAGGATTGACTCCTGCATGCCCTTGTCCACCTCACCCCATAACCGTCCCAGAGCTGGGACTTCCCAGCTCTCAGCACAGCTCCTATGTGCGCCTGTGGGACTGTTGGTTCAGTGTCTGGACACGCCCACTGCACCGCGAGTGCCAGGAGGACGCGGGCTACCTTGTGCTCATCACTAGTTCCCCCGCACCTAGCACAATGCCTGGCACAGGAGGAGAGCTCAATAAATATGTGTTGAACGCCTGGCTGAAGCCAGCTCTGTGCTCTCCCTCAACTGTCAGGAAACGCTGCCCCTGCCTCCTCCCCACGCTCAGCAAAGTCAAGGGCGATGAGACGCCCGTTCTCTGCGGCACCAGGCAATCAGCGGGCACAGTTGCCGCAGCGGCATTGCTGAACCATCTCAGAGGTTGCATCTGACCTTGAGCCACCTTCCTTTCTGCTTGGCTAAGCACTGAGTCGTTTACTTGTTTTTGCTGCCTTTCAACCCTGGAGCAGCAGGTTTAGCACAGATGAAGACACGACGGCTGTTTTTTTTTTGTGGGGAATCTATTTCCCTTAAATAAGAACTTAACTGGTAGTCTGCACTGCGTGGCGGGATGGTGACTGGGACTGCGAGGGACATGATGGCAGCTTCTTGAGTCAATGCCCAGGTCTCTCTGAGCCTTTGAAGAAAGTTCTTCCTACAAACATTGGCTGCAGGAGCAAGGGAGCCTGGAAGTCAGGAGACTTCTGAGTCCCAGTTGAGGCACTAGCTAGCCACGTGGCCTTGGACAAGTCACTCAGCATGTTGTCATTTAACATGTACCCTTTCTGGGCATCTCTCCTCACCTGCAAAATGCGGAGATGGCCTCAGCTCCCCTCCAGTGCCAGAAAGGCACACATTCTACTGCGGGTGGGTTAGTGCTGCTCCCAGGGTGGGGTTGGGGGAGGACAAGCAGAGACTGCCTCCTGGACCCATGACAGCCTCCTAGAGCACTTGTCCCTAGAGCAGGGCCCCGCACCACCCTGCAGCGGCATCTCGGTCAGGATCCCTCTTGTTCCAGCCCTGGCGATGCTGGCTAGGAAGCAGCCAAGACAGAGGCTTGGAGCACGGGCTTTGGCGTTCTACAGACCCGGTGCAGTCTCTCCGTTGGGTGCCTGACCCTGGGCAATCACTCTGAGCCTCAGTCTCCTCACTTGGCCAGTGGGAGCTTTCTTACCTAAGGGGACGGATGACTACAGGAGATAATGCCAAGAAAGTGCTCAGTGTAGGGCCTGACACAGAATGAGAGTGTGCAAATCTTAGCTATTATAATAAATATTATTTATGGCTTAGATTCATACATCATGAATGCCTCAAAAAAAATTAGAAATTATAGAGACCCTAGAAATCTTTGCTAAGCTTCTAGTTGTAGAGATGAGGAAGCTGAGACCCTAAGGCAGAGGAAGGACTTGTCTTAAGGCCGGCAGGCAGACATAGGACCATGAGTCAGGAGTCCCAACTCCTACATGGGATGGATCCTTAGGCTCCATCCCAGCTCTTACGAGGGCCCTGGTTGGGGCAGATGCCTTCTCATGACACCCTCGGCCGTGAGAACCCTGAGGGCTGACTTAGAAAGGATCCTGTCCCCAACCACTGCCCCACCTGGAACGTAAACATCACCCAGAGGGCTTCCGGTAGAGGGGTCTGTCCACAGCAGCCACTCATTAGAGCCCCAGGCATGACTCGACCCAGGTCACCTCCCTGTCCTGGGCCTGTTTCCTTAAGTGTGACAAAATGGTCTTTAAGAGCCTTCCAGTTCTGGTATTCCATGGTCTCAAGAACTGGGTTCAATGAACCACAAATGGCTGGAAACCTCAGTTAACTAGAATCTTCCCCAGAAGCTCTTAGGACAAACAGGCAGAGCCCAAGAAAGCATAACCATCTGCAGTCCTTGCATACTTTTTCCTATTTTACCAAGTACTTGAGCCTATTTTGTCTCATTGGTTGCTTTCCTGCTCTTACAGACAAGCAGACTGAGACTCAGAGCAGCCTGAGGTTTTCCTAGTTGATATCAGGGCTCAGAGCAAAGGTGAAAGGTCAGCAGCTAGAACAGTGTTGTGCATGGAACACACATTCCTTAACAACCCACCAACATGAACCACAAATCAAGACGAAGAGGTTTTGCTAAGACAGGAGCCTGGGATGGGGAGCCCAGAGGCCGGGGACAGCACTCTCCTCTGTCTGTCGCTGGCTGGGCCTGTTGCTCTGCCTGTAAAGAGGTGATGGGATGGAAGTCCCCGCCCCCTGTTGTCCTCTCACAGTTCCTCCTCCTCCTCAGACCACCCAGCATGGGGGGCTGGAATCTGTTTATGGTCAGCCCTCCACCCCGAGAAGACAGAGATTCTGCCTTCATTTGTCATCATGTCCCAGAGAAAAGCAGAAAAGGCTTCTGGAAATGTTTAAGAGAAGGAGGGAAGAAAGGAGGGAGGGAAGAAGGGAGGGAGGGAAGAAAGGAGGGAAGGAGGGAGAGAGGGGACGGGAGGGGGCCGAAAGCCCTCCAGCAGAACATTCTCTGATTCCACAAACCTAAGTTCTAAGGCCATTCACCATCAGGGTCTCTTAGGCACAGCCGCATTAATGGTGGAACCACCACGGGGGAAGCAAAGAGAATGAATGTCAGACGTGAAATGACATGTTAACCCGTCAGCCTCGCTGAAATGACAGCTAACTTCCCAAAGTGCAGGCCTACAGGTCCACATGTTCAAGGCCGCCAGGCTGTGCCATGTGGGAAGTCCTGCCTTTCCAGCTGAACCCTCCGTGATGCTGGTGTCAGAGGCCATGAGGCGCTTCTATCTGCTAGGCTCACCAGTTATATGTCAGCACTTTCCAGCCCGGAGCCTTACGGTTCCAATTCAGGAACACGACAGAGCAGGATTCTGCAGAGTTCAGGAACATAGAGGGGAACAGATCTTATAAATAACTCCTGGTTAAAACAGCTGAAAATAAGGAGACAGAAAAGGAAGCAAATCGCTAAGCACTTATTCAGTCAATAACATTGGCTTGAAAACCTTAGTGCAAATGGCTGGTCAGGTTTATTTCCTTCTCATCAGAAGATCAAATGCAGGATTGAACCTGGAGGCACCAAGACTGTGTGTCTGAGGATGTATTTGGAGGGTGTGGCTCTCCTCAGCTGATGGTCTCTCGGGGAAGATCCTACCACACAGGCCTTGCATTCGATCTCACTGCATCACTTAACAGACTCCGTCAGTTGGAGTGACCTTGGTCAATAAGTCCCTGGACCTCTCTGAGCCACTCCAGGAAGGTCTGGCTGCTGGCTTGGCCTCTAAGCTTTGAGATTCTAGATAGCAATTCATGGCTGAGGCCTCGGAAGAAACTCAGGAATCCAAAAGTCTGAATTAAATATTGACCATGCTCACAGGTTTGGTCTCCCTCTTTTCCATTCTCTGTAGGGCCTTCCTTTAGCTGCGACAAGGCCGTTACCGTTTGTGCTCTCTGGGATGCTAAAATTGAGTGGAAATGTGCTTTATTCACTTGCCATCCCCAGGGCTCAGATCGTGAGGCGTGGGCCAGCAGCATGCTACCTGTGGGCAGGGCAGAGACACAGGGCCCAGGCTGAGGCTCAGGACGCCTAGCGCAGAGCTCACTCTGCCCCAGCCGGATTCCTGCCTCCCGGCCCACAGGACCCAAGTACGGAACTGAACTACGGAGGGAGTGACAGCCTAACCGCCAGGCCCTGGCACTGCCCGGCGCAACAGTGAGAGGAGGAGAGAGGTTCTGTCTGCCGAGCACGGCTGGCCGCCCCGCCGCCCTCAGCAACAGCTGCAGGTGCCCGTGTGCACGCGGAGGATGCCGCGGCTGTGCAGGTGCAGGAAGTTGAAGATCTCCGAGGGCATGGCGTGGAAGCCCGGGCGGGGCTTGACGTTGTCATAGTAGTGGTGGGTGATGTAGAGGCCCGAGGGGTTCATGGGGAAGGCCCAGAAGCCGAACAGGTGCACCTCCTCGCAAAGCTCGAGCGCCGCCGTGGCCAGGATGAGGCCGGTGCTGATGCGCTTGGCGCGCACGCCCAGGCTGAGCCAGTAGCGCGACACGTTGACCAGGTACTGCGGGTGGAAGTAGTAGACGGCCTGCGGCGACTCGAAGTCGTCGAGCACGTACTTGACGCGGATGGACACGTCGGTGTTGCGCGTGTTGTAGAAGGCTGGCAGCAGCACCGACGCGTTCTCATAAACCTGCAGCACGCGGTAGAAGGGCCGCCGCCACTTCTCCAGCTTGTGGAACCTGCCGAGGGGCGGGGGCGCGAGTGAGAGGGTCGGCCGTCCTGCCCCGGGCTCTGTGCCCTCACTTCCCCCACCCCCCTACCCTGGGCTCTTTCCACTGGACACAGGGGACTCCTGTCACCTCAGCAGGTGAACGTCCCGCCTTCCTGGGGACCGTTAAATTTTTGTTAGAGGGTGTGGGAGAATGCAGTCTGGACCCAAAGGGACAAATATCTAGTGTGAGGTTGCAGGGGGAGGGCAGTGCTTAACCCAAAAGGATGAGGGTGGACCAGGGTGGGCTCGGACGGGAAGTGGCCAGGGAGTGAGGGCTTTCACCTGTACTGTCTTCCCCAAGATCCCCAATGAAGGACACCAAACACAGCTGCCTGTCCTCCCAGCCGTTCCTTCCCCCAGCCTCTCACTCACCTTTTTCTAAACAGCCCTCCGGTGGGCTCCTCTCATACCTGTCTGAATGCTCCTTCACTCCGCTGACTCTGGAAATGCTCCCCAGCATCTGACCCAACCTAACAACTCCCCTTCTGTCCTCTCCTGCGGTGCCCTCTCTTACCCTTCATCTGACCTGGAGGTGTGACTATGCCAGGGTTGGAGTTTTAACACATTAACCCCCTCCACTGGGGCCTCGCAGACAGACTCCGGGAGGAGAGCCAGGGGCGGTGAGATCTTTGCATGCAGCTTCTCCCCAGTGCTGCATGGACACACCCCTTAGGGAGCTGCCTGCCAGTCACACTCTAGAAAGCTCTCTGGCCCATCTCTAGGTAAAGACAGTCTAGGCCAGCGCTGTCCAAAAGAAATATAACGCAGGCCACATATGTAGTTTTAAATGTTCTAGTAGGCACATTTAAATAAGTAAAAAGAAATGGGTGAAATTAATTTTATAACATATTTTATTTAACCTGATATACCCAAAATACTATCATTTATTTCATCATGTAATCAATATAAAAAATTAATGAGATATGGTTTATCCTCTTTTTCATATTAAGTCTTTGAAATCGGGTGTGCATTTTACGATTATAGACAGCACATCTCAATCTGGATACCCACATTTCCAATGCCCAGTAGACACATGTGATGAATGGCTACCATATTGAACAGCCTAGGTCTAGAAAGAGGGCCACTGACCTCTCTGTGATGATGCTGGGGTTCACAGTGACCACATCCGTCTTCACCCCGACATCCATGGTGTACTTCTCCGAGATGGGGGGTAGATTGCATCTGCAAAAGAGGCAAGGCAGCCTGACTGCATGTGGTGAGTCATTCTAGATGGAGCTGGGGAGTGGGCGAGGGTGAGGGTGCAGGGAGGGAAGGGATGGTGACCATTTGAGCAGAGGGATACAGAGGAAGCCAGCTGGGTGGGTTCTCTATGGCCTGAGCATGGAGGGGCAAGTTCGACCCCTTCCTCCACCAACCCTGAGTGGCCCAATGATTGTGGATCCGTGACCCATGAGATCCCATTGCAGCCTCAGCCCAAGTCTCTTGGCTTTAGGCTCTTATTTTCAACTCATCTTCTTTCTCCAGGCTAAAGATGTAAGCAAGGATCCCCAAAGAGATAAGACGGGGCTCTACATAAGGAAGAAGAAATACAGGGACCAGTCTCTAGCTTAGTTAAACAGGGTGAAGTCAATACTGGTCAGCCATGAGCTGTCCTAGTTCCAAGCACTGCTTCTGGAAGGGTAGAACCCAACCAGGGAAGTGGCCACCCAGACAGTCTCACCAACAGACCTGCACGGCCCCTGCGAGTCCTCAGGGTCTTCACATCTGTTATGTCATTTGCTCTCTACACACTTCCCATTCTGCAGATGTGGAGACTGAGGACGTGAGAGGTTCAACCACTTGCCCAAAGGGACAGGGCTGGAGAGGAAGGGACAATCCAGAGCCTGAGGGTCTGCAGGGGTGGGGACTGATCACTTGAAGGGCAGCATTAGGGCGGGGGGATGGGGCACCCCTTGGGGGAGGGGCACAGAGGAAGACGGCCATGGGGGCAGAAGCGGCAGGTGCAGACCCACGGCGATTCTTTTACCGGAAGACAAAGTCGGCGCTGTTGATCTCCCTCCCGCAGCGACTGTTCTTCAGGATGCCCCCGTTGCCCACCACCGCACACTTCTTAAACTGGGATCGGTAGTAGGGCATGTCCTGGGGAGACAGGAGCACAGCTGTCAGAGGCAGTGCCACCCCAGCCTTCACCTGGTGCTCTCACCTCCATCCCCATGTCCACCTCTACTCCTCACGGCCCCCTGAGACAGCCTTGTAGGGAATGTGGGAGAAAAGTGGTTATTCCACTTTGCAGATGAGAAGAGAGGTCGAAAGACTTGTTCTCAGTTCCAGAGGCAATTACAAATGAGCTGGAACGGAAGCCCCGTCTCCACGGCCTTGTTCAATAAGCCCTGGGATGCCTTAGGTTCCCAGTAAGAAGAGTGCAGGTCATGGCTAGCCCTGCTTGCACTGAAGCCCTCGGTTGTCCCAATTCTGGAAGCTCAGCTTCTTATGACTTCTGGTGTGCCTTTTTTAATGGTTAATGCAGATGTTCCGGGGAATGACAGCAGCAGAGATGGGGGCAGGGCCACCCAGGACCAGGGCCCTAAATCTGGCCCTCACCGCTTTCAGCTCAGGGTGAGGTGTGGACCCTCTTCTCCTCCACAGGGAGGACACAGGCCTGGGACAGAAAGGTCATATGGACTGGGACAGGTGCCAGGACTTGGCAGCAATAGGGACAAGAGGCTGGGGGTGTGCAAGCAAGGCCACATCAGGGGAGCAGTGAGAGGCTAGGACTTGGGGTCTCTGCAGAGAACGAGCTCTGAGTGCAGGGGAGCCAGCACTTACCCTGCGTGCTGATGGCATTCGAGAGAGCACCCAGGTGGCCACCTCACAGTGCTTTGTCTTTGTCAACCTTGGCTGGTGGGGTTACCTTGGTCTAGGCCCTGGCTGCCCACAGAGGCTCCCTGGGCATGCTTTCCAGGGGACCACAGGCAAGTTGGCAGGAAAGAGCAAATACTGGCTTGAGAGTTAGGAGACTTGGTTCCACCATGTCCCTATTCTCGGTCATAATCCCCTCCTGGGCAACCCAAGGCAGGTGGAGCTGGGCAGCCACACGCACAGGACAGGAGCACAGACTTGGAGTCAAGGGTAGGGTGACCAAACATCCTGGTTTGCCCAGGTCTGGGGGACTTCGCCCAGGATGCAGGACTCACATTTGGTCAAACTGGGAAAGTCTGGGGCAAACCAGGACTGGGCACACTAGTCAAAAGACCCAAGTTTAACGCTGGTTTCCCCCCGTAATGGGGTGACAAGTTTTTTGAGCTCTCAGTGACTCGGATTTCCATCTGTAAAATTAGGAATAGTGACCTGTGCGTGTCAACGAGAGGGTGTGAAGCAGTTTCTCAAGCTGGCACTATTGACATTTTGGACTAGATCATTCCTTGTCGTCGGGGGCTATCCTATACACTGTAGAATGTTTAGCAGCATCTTTGGCCTCTCCCCACTTGATGCCAAGAGTACGCCTCAGTCATGACAACAAAAATGTCTCCAGACATTGATAAATGTCTGCAAACAGCCCCTGGTTGAGAAGCACTGGTGTAAATGAAAAGCAGATCCAGTGCAGGGCTAGGCCCAGAGGTGTCTCAGCGCAGGGGACCAGGTGGTTGCTAGATGGCCCGAAGGTCCCTCCCATCTCTGACACCCAGGAGGCCGCTGGGCATCTCTCCTCCCAGTGCACAGCAGCTGGCTAGCCCTGCACGAGAGCTGTCCCCATCAGCGCCTCGGGCTTCTCATGGGACCAACTGCCAGACGGAGTCTCATGGAAAATCACACCACGATGGGATCCTCAGGAAGCAGGCTACATCTGAAGGAGACGCTGCATCCATCTGTGGAGACTGTCCTTCTTCAGGGCCCATTTTCCCTGGAGGGACAGGCCCCGGGGCCACGACAGGGAGAACAAGGGTGTCTCATGGCCAGTGGGGGAAACTAGACTGTTTGACTTTTACCACAGAAAGAAAAATAACCAAAGTCACCCTTGAGAGCTCATCAAAGGCTTTTTCTATTCTGTTTCCCAAACTTCTGTAAATCAAAAACTACCTGGGGTACCTTCTGAAAATATACATTCCTGGGATCTACCCCAGAACCACAGACTCCGAACCTCTGGAATCGGGGTAGGAGACCGAGAAGCTGTACTTTTCACAAACCCAGAGAAACACTCAACTTTAGGGAGGTTTGGGAAATACTTCTATGTCATATGCTCTAATTCAGGGGGTGGCAAATTACGGCCCACAGGCCACATCTGACGGGCTGCCTGTTTCTGTACAGCACGCAAGCTAAGAGTGGATTTTATATTTGTACATGCTTGGAAAAAAACCAAAAGAATATTTCGTGACATGTAAAAATTATATAAAATTCAAATTTCAGTGTCTAATAGGAACTAAACTGGGAACAGCCACACTCATTTGTTTATGCGTGTCTAAGGCTGCTTTGTGCTAGAAGGATGAGGGTGAGTAGTTGTGATAGAGACCATATGGCCTGCAGAGCCTAAAATATGTGCTCTCTGGCCTTTCCGGAGAACATTGGCAACCCCAGCTCTAATTCCTTGGTTCTCCGCGGTCCATACCCACAGCCCTCCTTGGACCCATATGTCATATCTGAGCTATGTGTACCCACTGGCAGTACCTGTGTGAAATGTAAGTTCACCCTCTGTCACCAGCCTCATGTTCCAGGCCTTGCAATACCTGCCTCGGAGACATGTCTCGTGTCCCATCGTCCTCCAGCACTGTGACGTGGGAGAGCATGTTTGAGAGCTCCCCACCTTCAGCTCCTCCCCAGGATGCCCCAGGATGCCCAGTCTCACCAGCACATTCTGGTGCGAGTACCAGAACACAGGGAAACCCGGGGCTTCGTTTCCTTGGCACTCCCTGGAGAAGCAGGGCAGCCCAGACCCTCAGATTTCATCCAGAAAGACTGAAGATGCCCCCGCTCAGAATTTCTACACACTGGACCCCCTAAGTCCTGCCCTGGGCCGGCTCTCTCCAGGAGGTGGTTGTGACCACATCCCACGGAGCCTTCCTCCCCTTCAGATGGCAACCATCAGGATCAGCTGAAAATGCAGGCTCCAGGGCTCCTCTCTGAGAGTCTGACGCAGCCACCAGGCCAGAAGTGAGTGCGTGTGCCTGAGCCTCAGTGATCTGAGCAGTTTGCTCATGCGGATCAGTTGCTCTGTGGTCCCTGTGACCAGGAAGCCGCCATGCTGGCCCTGAATGAACAGCCTACCTCCAGACTTCTTATATGTGACAGGAAAAGAATAAACGTCTATTTTCTTTAAGTCTCCGATATTTTAGATTTTCTGTTATAGGCAGCCAAACATATTCCCAGTCTAAAACCCAGTGTTAGAGACAAAGAGACGAGCCCTTGAAGGACATAATAATTGCCCAAGGTCATCCAATACGAGATCAATCTTTCGGTGCCTTGCTTTGTATTGGTTTGTGACTTCTTGTGCACACGTTCTTTGCACATATGTTTTTGCTCTTGTGCCTCCCTTGGGAGGGGGATAAACGCTTAATCACCCTCCCAGATAGCTTCAGGATGTCCTCTGCAAGCAACGCAATAACCAAAATTTTACAACCACTTTCTTGCCAAAAGCCACTCAAATACTAGCCAGTTGGCATTCACTGTGCTAGAAAGAACCCTAGGAACCCCAGAGGACAGTCTACTGAGCCTAAAAGAATAGCCAGCCAGGGCCAGGGCACCTGTGTGCAGAGGACACAGCGCAGTGACGCCAAATCCACGGGCATGGCCACAGAGGGCCACACTGGGTCAGCCCCACCGCCCCACCGAGACCGCCCTGCCCAAAGCGGCACCTTGGGAAACATGCGGAAGATCTCCTGGTTGATGTGGTAGATGCCGCTGGTGTCCACCTCGTACTTGAGCTTCGTCCCCAGGGGAGTGTTCTTCTGGGTGGTGAAGAGGAAGGAGGGGGCGTTACAGCACCTGGACAGAGTGGACCTGCAGGGCAGGAGACAGACGGGGAGAGACTGGTGACACCGGGCAGAGCAAAGCCTCTCAACAAACAGAGGGGTCATGGAACCGAGGCCCCTAGGGGAGACCAGGGAACACCGTCCCCTCCCACCACCCCTAGGCACCCCCACTCCTCTGCTCATGCTGTCCCCTCCCCCTTTGCCCGCCCAATGCCCGGGCCTTTCCTCCTCTGCTGACGCTGACCTCTCAGGGTCTAGCCAGGTTTCTCTCCTGAGCTCCCAGCCACCCCAACCCCACCGATCACACTGGCCTCTGAAGGCCGGGAGCCCAGACTGGGTCCCACCCGCTTCATCATCTGCCAACTCCCGCCCTGCCTGAATGAAAGCCCCTTGATGGCAGGGACCGTGCCTCTCCTGGTCCCACACAATGTCAGTCACATGCACAAGTCTGTTTAACAAGCAGGTCCCCGCGAATTGTGGGATGAATAGCCCTCATTCAGGCTTTCCTCAGGATCTGCTAAGCATTCTACTACTTCCTGGAAACAGGCTGTTTATCCAGCCCCGATGGAAATCCAGCAGGATGCAGAGTTCTTGCTTCGACTCAGCCCCCATGTTAGACTCTGACAGGCATCTACCTGTCTGACGGGGTCACAAAACCAAGACACAAACGGTCAACAAAAACATGCAATACTTCAATCATTTAGAAACTGTCTTAGGAATAGTGTAGGATCAGAAGAAATCGGGATGGTGAGTTGATACTGAATGGCTTCCTACAGAAAGTGGAATCTAGCTTCCAAAAGAAATTTCCAGGAATTCATTATTTAAATCAGTAAAAAGATCCCTGTGGATGTCACTCACGAAAACACTCAAACATGAGCTACAGAAGGGTTAAAGCTCAGATGGTGCAAGCAGGCTTTAAAAAATATCTCCGAGAGAGAATGTGGCCGATGAGGCAGGCTTGGGAGTCAGCCAGGCCAACGAGCCTGACTTTTCTCTTCTCTGCAGCTGGGGTTCCACCCAGCAGTGCATTCTCCATGGCGTGCCGGCCAGGCTTGGTGATGGGCTCGGATCCTGGGGACCCAAAGCCATATGCCGTGGCTTCAGAGGACCTGGACTTGACAAAGGATGCAAACTGCCATCCTCTCATGTCAGGGCTTTGTGCCCATGAGGATCCACTTTCTCCAAAAACAGCAGCAGTGGGCTGAGTGCACAGTGGCCTTCTTTCCTCAACATCGTCTCCCAGCACAGTCACATCCAGTGTCCAGGTGGCCCTGGGAGGAATGGAACCTTCTCTGTGGAGCCCAGATGATGACCACTATCAAAAGCTGAAGAGGAGCTTTCTAGAAAGTTCACACCCAAAGTCTGGGATGGAAACTTGGCCTGCCAACTGTGGCAAGAGGACTGAGTTCTAGTTTCTGCTCTGTCCCCACCAGCCATGGGGCTCTGAGCAGGTCTCTTCCCCTCTCTGGGCCTCAGTTTCCTCATCTGTAGAATGCAGGTTTGGCTCCTCCACCTCTGACCCTCTGTAATTCTGTGACTCCAAGTTGCCAAAGCCAGGAAGGTTTTACAAATTATCTTTTATGACTTAATCTCTTACAGGGACCTCACTGGAGAGCTTAGCTGGCTGCTGGTCCCAGAAAGTGGTCTTTCCTGTGGATGGTTTCAGAATGTGACTGAGGCTTCCCAGAGGGGAGGCCAGAAGCCCGGCCAGGCAGGGGTCATGGGTCAGCATCACAAACTAGTAACTGGTCCATTTAGCTTTGCTGGTCCAGAAACTCAATCTTGTCAATCCACTGGAGAAAACCCCATTGAGGGAGACTGACTTATACTAGCCAAGCTCACAAGTGACTGATATATAAGCCAGAATGCCAATGTGTCTATTTGTAAGCAGGAAGGTGGCGGAATACTTCAGTTACAGGATTCCTTTCCTGTCACTGGAATACTCCTCCCTGTCTTCTGGCACGCTCTTCCACCGCATCCCACATCACTGCACCAGGTTCTTGAGAACCCGAATTAAGAATCTCATCATTGTTCAATGAACTAGTAATAAGAACAAAGGCAGGCAACCGACTAGCCTTAAAGGTCTTTCCATTTAGAGCTGACCTGATGTCAGCTCCCTTTCCCACACCTGAAACCGCTCCCAACCTCCACCCCCAGCTCCAGAAGGGTCTCCGCAAGCCCAAAGCCTCTCCCCCCGAGAGTGCTCACTGATCCCTGCCAAAGGCTCCCACCCTCATCCCTGTTTTCTCTTGCCACGTCATCTTCCTGTTGCTTCATTATTTCCTTATATACGTGAACCCCACCGATAAGGCCTCTCTCCAGCTCTCGGCCTGGACAACATCCTCTTGCGTCTCACTGACCTCGTCCATGCCGAGTGTCTGTCAGCCTCAGTGCGCTCAGGCCCCACGGGCCCCCAGGGGCATCTGCTGCACAGCCCCCACGGTGACACTCCTAAGGGGCGGATTCAGGGCTGCACTTGCCGCACAGATCTTGGACCTCTTCCCGCTCTTCCAGCACTTTGCTCAAGTTCACGTTCTACTTTTATGACAGATGGGTCTCTGCAAACTACTGTCAGGCCGTAGGTGGGTTTCCACAGTCTCACAGAGGCCTCTGGTTTGGGGCTGCTGGCACCTGCTCTTCAGGGATCATCACTTTAAACACTCACATTTCTAAAAATGTACTTACTTTGGATGAAAGAGTAAAGAAGATGTGGTATACATATACAACGGAATACTACTCAGCCATAAAGAAGATGAAATCTTGCCATTTGCGACATGGGTGGACCTTGAGGGTGTTACGCTAAGCAAAATCAGTCAGATGGAGAAAGACAAATACTGTATGATCCCCCTCATGTGTGGAAGATAAACAAACAAACACAGAATAGACTGGTGGTTACCAGAGGGGAAGTGTGCAGGGGGAGAGCAAAAGGGGTAAAGGGGCGCATGTCTACGGTGACAGAGGGCAACTAGACTTTTGGTGGTAAACACACAGCAGTCTATACAGAAGTCAAAATATGATGATGTACACCTGAGACTTATATAATGTTATAAACCAATGTGACCTCAACAAAATAAATAAATACATAAAAATAAAAATAAAAACGTAGCACTTAAATCTATTACTCGGTCTCTAGACTCGGCCTGGAATTGCAGCAAACCGGAACAAATGACTAATGAAGAAAATACAAAATCCTTACTGTGATTTGCTTTTCACAGCCTCCCGGGCAGGATTCCTTCAGGCTGAGAGCTCCCCAGTACATTTAAACTATGACCTGACTTGCCAAAATCCAGTTTACCCACACATTCCCAAGAGCCTACGAATTTCATTAAATAGGGTCTACCTGCACTAAATAATACCATAAACTCAGAGAATTTTAGAGATGGAGAGGACCCTCTGGTTCACCATTAATCAAAAAGAATTTCTGGGCTTCTGCTAGCTGCTTAGCTCTCAAAGACAGGAGAACTTTAACATACAGCTGTTGCTTCTTGGGCAAAAAATAATCTGCAGCAGGGCTCAAACATCCATATAGGCTGCAAGACCCCAAGTGGCCCGAGAAGGAAGGAGAGGGCTGCTGAGTGAGAGCCGCTGCCCCAGTGGTGGGCAGGGGAACGGGGTGAGACCATGCAAGGTGCTCCAGGTGCCTTAACATGCACAGACCTGCAGGAGACCTTGAGTCAATCACTGTTATGAGTCTCAGTCAACCTCAAATGTACTGGAGATGACACCACCAACCTTGCAAGGCTGCTGCAAGGACTAAGGGCGAGAAAGTAGGGGACAGCACCTAGCAGGTGCCACCTCAGCCTGTAGACTGAGCCAACACCTCCCCACGGCCCAGATGCCAAAGCCCAATCAGAACCAGCTCTGGGGAAGATGCGCCTAGGGGCTGGGCCTGGCAGGACAAGGAGGATCTGAAGAGGCGGCAAGAGGAGAACCCCACGAGTAGAAGGGCTGGGAAGGACAGACGCATCGCAGGTACTTGAACTGGTTGGCTTCAGAGATGTTCATCGCCCATTTGCACATCTGGAGGCTCTTCCACCTGTCGAACAGCTCCGACTGCTTCACCCTGTGGGAGGGGAAGACAGAAGAGTGCATGAAAGGCCAAGCTGGACTAGGTGTCCTCATTCCCAAACATGCTCCCGTCCTGCTCCCCCATATGCCAAATCCTGGGCTGGTCCTTTGTATTTTCTTATTTTCTATATTCTTGATGCTCTCACACCTGGGGCCTTGCTAATTCCTAGAGATAGCAAACAACTCTTCTGCAAGCACACCTTTCACAGGCAAGCCAAACAATTCAGAGGCCATGCTCTCAACCTCCTTTAACAACTGAGCCACTAGCCCCTGCCCTCATCATCACACAACTAGGGGCAGTCCCTATGTCCCAGAGCCCTCCAAAATTATTCATCCCAACCAATCCTAAGCCTGTCTGCCCTGCTTTTCCCATTCCTTCCCACAAAAACCATAATAGAAGGCTCTCGCCTGTGCTTTTTTCTCCTCCTGGCCATCCCTGGTGCTTCCCCATGTGGCCCTGCCTGGCCTGCCATGCCTCCTGTCTCTAGGGATCTGTGAGTATAAGAACTTCTTCCTTCTTGATATCATTTCTGTGTCTGTGTGTCTCACATATCTGATTAAAACAAATCCCGGGTACACTTTAAAACATTCTTCCTCGCACGCCCACCGCCCAGGGCCTGCACAGTTCTCCCAGGAGCATCTGTCTATAAAGGGCGTGAGATCACTTCCCTAACGGGCTCATTGCAAGGGCACACCCTTCTCTGCTGCTAAAATGACAATTTCATATAGTTTAACCAAATTTTCTTTTGAAAAAGGGAGAACTCACAGTCACATATATTTGGAGAAAGCTGGGTTTAATAAAGTTAAGTGTTTTTCTTTACTGCAGAATTTCTCAGATCCTTTAGTATATTCTCAAATATTGTGAATTTCCAAGAAAGGATATCATATGCGTCATTTCCCAAAGGTATTGGATCATGGAACCCTTTCTCCATTGAATAGTTCATCAGACTGGGGTTCCTCGGAAACACAGGGAAATGCTGGACAGATCAGAATTTCCTTAAAGGACAGCCATGACTTCTCTCTCTTGACCACCCACAGTCCCCACCCCAGGGCCTAGCATTCTGTAACTGTGTAGGGTCACCTAGCTGTGGACCAGTTCAGAAGCTGGCTGGTCTTGGGTGCTGGGGCAGAGAGCAGCCCTTTAAAGAAGGTCATGAATGGGGAAGTGACCAGCCCCCAGGAGCTGAGCGTTATCAAAAACTATTATAACAATGGTTCTTACTCTGGATCCACTGAAGGGCTTAAGGGAACCCATGACTCTCAGAATTACAGGAAAAATCTCAAGTCTATCCACCCATGTGCACATCTTGGGGAGAATCTGAAGTTTTCATCAACTTCCCAAAGGCCTCCCTGCTTCCAAAAAAAAGGTAAATACTCACTTAACTGTAAGGTAAAAACTAGGTTCATTCTGCAGAGCTGAGTCCCTGTGTTTAATTGGAGGGGAAAATAGTTGTTCCCATACAGGGCAAGCCTCACCTCTGGAGGGAACACAGGACTGGTGTGGGAGGGCTGATTGCAGGAAGAGTCATACAGGACAGCGACTAAGTACATAGATTTTGGAAGCAGAGGGGAACTTGGGCCTTAGACCCAGTTCAGACACCTCCTAACTATGGGACCTGCTTGGCAGCTTTAAAGAGCTGGAAGGAGCCCTCCTCTCATCCTCACCCTTCCTCCTGGCTTTCCCAAACCTCCCACAGCAGCTCTCACCTCTCGAGCTCCCGTCACATGGGAGGAGAGGTGGCGTTCCACAGCAGCGCCCAGCTAACCCACCCCTTCCCTCCTCTGTTCCCTGCAACCCACAGGCCCCTGGAGCAGCACCCCACATGGCCAATGCTCAAACACCTCCTGGAAACACAGCCCTGGTAACACTGCAGGCCGGGCCCCAAGTTCAACTGTTACCAGTGTCTGGGTCACACACTGGACCAAGTTCGGGGCCTGGACACCCAGCGTTGAATCCTGGCTCCAGCCCCAACTTGCAATGTGACCTTGAACAAGTCATTTAATCTCTCTGAGATCTGCTGCTTTATCTGTAAGATGGATACAATAAACTCTGCCTGCCAATCCCAAAGGTTGTCAGAAAGATCCAACGAGATAGTATGTGTAAAAATATTTTACATTTTATAAATAGCTCTACAAATGCAGAGATCATCTTTAAAGATGAAGGGTTGACCCCAGGCACTTATCTCCTTTCTCCCAAGACACCACTAACATTCCAGAAGAGGAATAAAAGAGGTATAAACCTACCAGCTGAAGAGAATGATGGGGGTGGGGGGTCTCAGTGGAAAAGAGATTTCAACAAGTGTGTGGAAGGAGGGGGAGTGACAGAAGGAGGGATGACACGGCCCAGAGACAGAGCCGATCTGCATGGAAAATGTTAAAGGGGGGTGGAGGGTGGGGAAGGGACATGGTGCTGAAAATGAGGATCAGTTTCAAGTCCATATCCAGAAGGGTCAAGCCCACCCCTTGAGCCAAATATATAAGCAGCCAAATATTTAACGTCCAGCAGAGGGAGAAGGAGGATTGAGTGAGACCTTCAGTTTTTCCTGCCTAAAAGAATTATCATCCCCAGAGAAAAGATCTGGGCATTCTAGCAGAAAAAGGGCCAGCAGCATGTTGAACAACCACCCTCAAGGAAGGCCTGCAGGCAGAGAGTTTCTATCAGCTTTGTATTGTTTAAATTTAAATAGATAGAATAGATAATCAAGGGTCACCCGGCCAACCTGAAGGAAACAAACCAGGATAAACCATCAGACAAAATGACCACAGAGAAAACTATTGGAGGAACAAAATAGAACTTGAAAATATTCTACTTAGTGACCCCAGAGATAGTCAAGAAGCCATGACATCCTTAAAATAAGAAGAGACTGCTCTGAGAACAAAGAAAGAGCTCTGGGGGCAGGGGGGAAGTTCATGAGGAGCTGGAAGATAAAGTCAAGGAATTTTCTCAAAGAGTAGAAGCAAAGGACAAAGAGAGAGAAAAGATGAGACTAAAAGATATGAGTGCTAGAGGAGCGATCCAGCAGATCCAGTACACAACTCTTAAATGTACTAGAAAGAGAAGTTGAGAAAAATGGAGAGGAGGAAGTATAAAGAAATGCAAGAGTGAGTTCAAGACTTTGAACATGAGCCCCAGATTGAGAGGTCCCAAGGGGTGTCTCTCCTGAGGCACACCAGTGGGACATTTCAGAACTGTCATGATCCGAAAAGACTGCAGAAAGACAAAAACAGGTCACATCTAAGGAACAAGTAGAATCCTGCTCGTATAGCCCTGGACGCTAGAAGATGATGCAGAAGGTATTCAGCATTCCAGGGGAAAATGATTTTCACTTAAAATACCAACCCCACCAAACCAACAAACAAGTATAAGGGAAGAATTAAGTCATTTAGACACAGAAGGACTCAAAATCTTATCTCCCACCCATCATCTTGGGCGAATTTACTTGAAGATAGGTGGAAGCAAAATGAAGGAGTAAACCAAAAAAGAAGCAGCTATGGGTTCTAGCAAAGGTGAATCTGACTTAAGGAGCAGAGAAGGAGGGCCAGGACAACGGCATGCGACCCACCGAGGTTGGAGCAAGAGGATGACGGGAAACTCGTGGGGGAAATGCCTGGTCGATGAGGACGCAGGAAAAAAAATAGGACATCATAGAGACAAAGTTCAATGAGAAAAAGATGTCTAGAAGCTCCAGAAAAAAAAAATTACAAGAAAGGAGATGGAATCATTATTTTCTGATCTTCAAATTTTAGAGTAACCTATAGAGAAAACCCAAGAGAGACTTGTTATGCTTACAAATAGAATGCAAATGTTATCAGCCTTGACGTTTTAAAAGTAAACTCATGGATCACTGAAGCCAGAAGCTGGAACTAAAAGGTCAGAGTAATTTTAATAGCCTCATCTTACAAACCACAGGGTCAAGAGATACTGCCTATATTTGGCAGAACAAGAAATAGGTTACTCAGGCAATCTATAGATATAGCCACTGAAAATAGCAATACCCCTCAACCGGGAAAAGTAGGGAGGGGGATGGCTGTGGTGGAGGGAGTTGAATCCTCACTTGCAAAAGCAGAATGTCGGTGAACACTGTGTGAAAGCGGGAAGTCTAGAAACAGCAGCATGTGTGTGCTACTGAGATGTATGGAGGTACTCACCAGAGGAAACAGCTAGTAGTTGAAAGGAGCAGGGCTGGGGAAGACGGTGTGGGCAGGTGACTACTGCTTTTTATTAATGTCAGGGATACGTTCTGAGAAATGCGTTGTTAAGCAATTTCATCGCTGTGCGAACATCATAGTGTGCACTTACACAAACCTAGATGCTATAGCCTACTACACACTAGGCTCTATGGTACTTATCTTATACGACCACCTTGGTACGTGCCGTCCACCGTTGACTGAAACGTCGTTATGTGGTGTTTGACTATATCATAAGCTTTTGTGGTCTACTTGATTTTTCTAGCCATGTGCAAGAGATGGTAACAAATTACCCTTCTTCTTTCTCCTTTTTCTTCCGTGGCCTCCTGTTTCCACCCAGGTCTCATCCACTTCCTCCATCCATTCATCCATTTAACAAAAGCATCCTGAAACTGTGCAGGGTGAGACTCTGGGACTCAGAGATACCCGGGAATGAAGGGGCCTCCCAGCCTGGTGAGCACAGCCCAGCCGGCCTGGTGCCCAGCCTCTCTCCTAGTCTCAATGCCAGGCTCGGTGCATGGTTCTCTGCCCCAGAAAGATGGGGAAGGGATGGCAGGAGAGGCCCCGGGTGTGAGCACAGGTAGCAAGTGGTTTAAAAATAGAGGCTCTAGAATGATTAAAATTAAGCATAAATAAATTTATTAAGCATTAGTGACAATGCGTTTTCATAATAAATCATCATAGAGTAATTCCTCATGTATCTGACATTGTCAGAGAACAAGGCTTTTTCCATGTGGGCATTTTCTGCCCAACCGATCTTTACCATTGATTTGAGCATTTTGGATCAGAATCATTCCCAGATGAATAACACACCTCCCTGTGTCCTCAGACAGAATGCCAGCTGACATCCGTGAGCCTGAAGGGCCTTGGGGCACATCCGTCCAGCCCCCTCCATTCACAGATGGGGATTTAACCTTTTCCTGATGACTCAGAGTCTCCAGCATGAGCACTGCTCACAGCTCTGGGCCGGAGCACAGCAAAGTCCACAGATGCCCAGGTGGTGTCAGAACCACTCAGATCAGAGGCCGGCCTCTGGGCTCTCTGATTTCAGCCCTGGAGGACCGAATGACCCTCAGCTTTAGGACTCACAAAAAAGGCACTGGGCTCGCCACTCCCGATGACCCACTAGGGTCACATGCCGATGCCCCGTAAGCAGGTCCAGCTTTTCCTCTCCTCTCAGACCCCCATCACCACTGCCCAGACTCCCATGGCCTGGGGACCACAGGGAGGGCCAGTGCCAAGGAAGAGACAGGGTGGTGCAAGGCCCAGAAGTCACCAGCAGGAATGGTTACTCAGCTCAGGAGCCAGAGGGCCTGCCTGAAAGGCAGAGATGAGAACTAAAGACAAACATGCAGATGACCAAATGCCACCAACACGAGTGGGACAAGGGACAAAGGGTGGGCACAGATCGTGGGGAAATATGAGGTTCTCCATCCCACCCCACAATGTTTGTGATTAGGGCCCAGGTAATTTCTAACTTCATCCCTAAATGGAAGCTGTGATAGGGACTATTACGGGCTGAACTGTGTGTCCCTCAACATTCATAGGTTGAAGTCCTAACCCCCAATATCTCAGAAGGTGACTGTATTTGGAGAGCAGGTCTTTAAGGAGGTAGTCAAGATAAAATGACATCCTTAGAAGGGCTCTAATCCAATATGACTGATATCCTTATAACAAGAGGAAATTAGGACACAGACAGGTGCAGAAGGAAGTCCGCGTGAAGGCAGATGGAGAAGGCAGCCGTCTGCAAGGCAAGGAGAGAGGCCTCAGGAGACACCAAGCTGCCGGCTCCTTCATCTCAGACTGCCAGCCTCTGGAACTCTGAGAAAATAAAGTTCTGTTGTGTAAGTCCCCAGTCTGTGGTCCTCTGTCATGGCAGCCCTAGCAAACTAGCACAGGGACTAACACTGACATACAGAAAACACGTGCGTGGAGGTATGGGCAGGTACAAAGAAGGATGCCTCGTTTATGGCATCGCTCAGATCTTCCTGTCTAGACCTAGAAGTAACCATGGAGAAGCTATGTGCATTTTATAATTTAAAAAACTCTAAGGTATATGCTCAACGAGCATGCTCCGGCTTTCCACAGTGACACATGTAAGGGCCTGAGATCTTTGAATCCTGAGAAAAGATCAAGGCTCTCTGCTTATGAGCTTATGAATCTGGCTCCTGCCTGAGGTCCAGGTGGCCATCTTCATCACTAAGTCATAACTCCTCAGCGGAGTGTATGAAACTCCTGTCACGTCACACCCTCCCACCACCACCTGCTTACAGCCCACCCACAGGTCCCCAGTGCCCTCAGATAAAGATAAAATCTAAGGCCTGTCTGCACTGCAAGCCCACCAGGTCTGGCCCTTGGCTGTCCCTCTAGCAACATGGCTTCTGTGTCCCTCTTCACGCTGGCATTCAAGCTGCCCTGGCCCTCAGAGCCTGGACACAGCAGGCTCCCCCCTGGCTCAGGGCCTTTGCACAAACTGTTCCCTCAGTCTGGGATCCTCCTAGCCTAGTTAACTCCTACGGCCCTTCTGATGGAGCTCCAGCATCCCTTCCTCAGAGGAGCCGTGCCTGACAACCCCTCCCCACCCCAGCCCTCGCGAAGGTCCCTGTCATCCCCTTGTCTCCACAGGGTGACTGGTTATTACTGTCCGCCTCCCGCGCTGGGCTGTAAGCTCCACGAGGGCTGAACGACGGTGTGTGCTCAGCCAGGGTTGGGCGGGGTTGGCGGGAGGGTGCACTGTCCCACGTGTTTATCTCCAGACAATGTACAGAGACCCTGGGTCAGGACAGGGACCCCAAACAACGCAGCTAACCCTAGCTGGACATAGGTCTTATCCTTAGGGCTGTCCTGCAGCTGCTAAGCTTACAGATCTGAATGACAGCCCAGCAAAACTGCCGCTGCTGGTTCCAGAAAGGAAAGAACAGAGAAGGAAGGAGGGGAGGGAGGCATATCAGTATTTATTGAGCACCTGTTGTGCGTGCTGGTATGGATGTAGACTGGTGGGCTATCCGCTTTCACATACTCTATTGGAGCTAGTCTTTATGGCAACACTTAAAAGCTAGGTAATAGTGCCCCCATTTTTATAAAAAAGGAAAGGCTCAGAGAGGTTAAGTAATTAGAACAAAGATACAGAGCTGGTAAAGCCCAGAGTCAGCTGCGGATCCCAGGTCTGCCTGACTCCAAGGCCCACACTACCTGGAAATCATGTCAAATGTCTAAAGGAGCAACGGCTCCTGCCTGTGGGCCGTGGACAGTGGTCCCAGGATCATGTCAGGGGCCCATGGACCCACGTGAGCACCCAAAACGGCCCGACCCTGAATAAGCTCTATTTCTTCCACATCTAGATATAACTGTTTTCAAATAAACACACGTTTTGTCATGATTAATACAACACAAATTCCTCTGAATGGGTTTCCTGAATTCCTGCCAGTCCTGTGAGGGAGGGAAAGCTGGGGTAGGCGCACACACAGCACGTAATGCACTCTTCCTCCCACAGACTGTAAAAGAGCCATAGGTGATATGATGCTGAGTGGGGAGGGGTGAGCACAGTGCTGTTTGTGCAAAAAAAAAAAAAAAAAAAAGTGGGGCCAGCCCCAGGGCATAGTGGTTAAGTTCTTGTGCTCTGCTTTGCTGGGCCCACATTCGCGGGTTCAGATCCCGGGTGTAGACCTACACCCATCAGCCACGCTGTGGCAGCAATCCACATACAAAATAGAGGAAGACTGGCATAGATGTTAGCTCAGGGCTAATTTTCCTTAAGCAAAAAAAGAGGAGGATTGGCAACTGACGTTAGCTCAGGGCGAATCTTCCTCAGCAAAAAAAAAAAAAAAAAAAAAAAAAGTAAGGAATAGCCATACAAGGGTGCTGGCTTACGCATGGAGTCTCTGGAAGGATGCACGAGGATAGATCAGCTGCCTCTGAGGAGAAGTGGGGGGCTGTGGGAGGGGAATTTTCACTGTACACTTTTTTGTACCACTTGAATGTTGTATCATTTAAATAATTTACAAATTTTATTAAAAATTTACAAATTTTTAATGAATAACATTTTTAAAAGCGCATAGCAAGAGGATAGTGCTTAACCCTCAGCTGAAGTACTAAATTTCAGGTGAGATGCTCCTGTGCCCTCTTGGATTTCTGTACAAGAGGAACCCAGTGATGACTATCGCAGAGACTGGTAATTGAGCTGGGGGCTGAAATGCCCAGTCAGCAGAGGGGACCTTGCAAATCTGGCCCTTTTTCATAAAACACGCACAATCATCCTGCTCCGGCCCTCCAGGGCTTTCCAAATGCCAGGGCCCCGGGGGAAGCAGACCTAATTCTTGCTCTATCGGGATCCACCACGCTTTCCGTTTCCTTCTGCCCTGCCCCACCGGGTCCCCGCCCTGCCCAAGAGGACATGCACCACTGTGCACCCAGCCCCCAGCACCCACCCCAGCCACACTCACATGGACAGCACCTTCACTTCCAGGATTTCGTGCCTCAGCTCCAGGCATCTTGTGGAGTTGTATTCAAAGGGGCCCTCGTAAAAATCAAAGTACCTGGGAATCAACAGGGACAGAGGTTACTAGGCAGAGAAGCTGGCCGGACTTTCGGGAGCCTGCAGGGGCCCTTTGGAGGATCGGTTCTGGTCAAGTTAATAGAGCAAACCAGCCCTACCCCAGCAGATGACCTGGCGGGGGCTCTGGGACCGCTGTGGCCCTCTGGCTCCATCACTGGGGGCCACTTACCCACAGCACCCCACTACCCTGGGAGTGTAAGCCTTTACGGGGTGTGAACCATTTCAGCAAATCATGACATTCAGAAGAGGTCTGGTTCCAAGTTGGCGGCCGCGAAGGAGAGGGAAGGAGGACCCCCCCCCCCCCCC